GTCCTCACGCTATTCCCCGTTGTTATTTCAAGCGGAGAGCCCAGAGGGTCCCAGAAACAAGAGCAGCCCCACCACCGCTGCCAAAGGGCACTTCTTGGGAGCCCATCGCCAGACCTGCGTGGGATGTCGGTCCTGCTGGAGAGCCATCTCATGCAGACTGCGCGAGGGCAGCCAGCCTGGAGGACACGGCGTCCTGGAGGTGCAATAGTCCCACCGGAGTGACTCCCTAGAAAGATTGGAGACACAGACACTCTAATGTCTCCATAGTTTCAGCCAGAAGACTGAACGTCGCAGAGCTCCGTGAGAGTCGTCCTTCTGGTGGGCCAAAGAAAACCTGTTTGGTTTGACAGAGCAGATGCTTAAAAATGACTTTGGCTATATGGACCAAGTGTCTGTTTGCTTTGCAACAGCAGGGTTTTCATGAGCAGTTTCCCATGTTTCATTGTCCTTCAATATAGAAACTGTATGATACGTGTGAAACGAGTTTTCCATTTCTTGTAACAAGGCCCTATCTTCTGGTAACGCAGCCACAGGAAGAGCGAGGACATTAGTTTTCCTATGGTAAGGATGCATCCCAGTATGTCAGGCCATGAGTGAGGCAGAGCTGATCGCAGAGGTTATTTGATGTAGGCTCCTTTCCCCACTCTGCCACTGATTGCTTTTATGACCTTGAAGAGTCACCCCACCTCTGTTTTTCCCCCTCTTTAAATGGGAGTAATTATTCCCAACTTCATGGAGCTCTTTGTGATCTAAAGGTATTAAATGCAAAGCTTGTTTATATGTTAGTGTCTCATAACCACCAGAACTGGTAATAGCCAACAATGTTAAAATATGTGAAATTCAAAGCTGGTAAAAAGCAATACTTTTTTCACCAGTGTCTTCATGCGTTGGAAATTCACAGCTGTGAGCTGGTGGTCAAAGCGGGAGGAGGAGCTGCACGCACTCAGGTAAACACAGAAATCTGTCCGATTTTCCTCCAGAGAAACCAAGCGGAGGAAGGTTTAGAGCAAGGTGGTGGGAGAGACTGAGGCTCTCACAAGGCACTTGCCGTGACAACCTGGAGAAAACAAACCTCACGCTTCTCACCATGGCACATCTCGCCAAGCCTCGAGAGTCAGCAGCAAGAAATGCCGCCGTAAACCCTCCGTGCTCTCAGGAGTGACAGGGTTTGTTTTCGATCACTCATTGTGTGCCGATAACAGCAAGCCTTCTCCTCGGCAGGCGTGGACGAGTTCCTGCAAGGCTGGGCACGCTCAGCCTGTCCCCGGCGTTGACGTTGTCCGGGTGCACAGAAGCGCTCACTGGACAGCACAGCTCCTGCAGAACGATGGGGACAAAGTGTATTTGCTGTTTGGTTTGGGATCCATTTGAGCTCTTTTCTGAGTCGACTTTGGAGGAGGGGAAGCCAAAGGACGCAGCTCCCTGGGGAGACACGTGTGTGCAGCTACTCGGCACCGAGGCGAGGACAGGCACATCAGAGCAGAACAACTACTTCTGCTCTCAGCATTGTTTCCCAATGTCCAGCTTCATGATAAAACACTGTGATTAAAAGACTCTAACAATATGTATTTCAGCGGTTTCATCCCTTCGGTACAAGGCATCCCTCCACTGGTAAGCCAAAGAGGGCTCCTGCAGGCAGCAGGCAACACACGGCCGTGCAACAGGGCTGCCTGCTGCCCAAGGATCAGCGTCCTCCAGACCAGGCGCCCCACTGCATCCAGCCTGGAGTTAATTACAACATCGGCATCAGACAGAGACTTTTTAAATGAAAGGGAAGGATGAGCAACTTTCTAGCTCTGCCTTTATTTTTTAACCCCAATTACGAGACGCATTGCAAGGGAGAGGCGGTGGCAGATAATAAAGTTCAATGGGATGGTCTGAGTGTTAAGTGGACAACCAGGAAAGCCTCACATCCTGATCCCTAATTGGACATTGATATGCTGTGTGGCCTCGTCTCCTGGTTTTCTCCATGTAAAGTGGGGGTGATGCTTTGCCCGAGGGGCGTTCCACAGATGAATTAGTATTTGGAAAGTGCTTTGAAGATTTAAAGTGTTATATAAATGCTAAGTGTTAGCATCATCAGCTTTTCTATTGCAGCAGAACCCAGAGACTGCAATCAAGATCAGAGCCTTGCTTTGCTGTACCAGGCAATTTAGAAACTCCTGGTTGGAAAAAGCCCCTGTCCCTGCCTTGGCGATCCGCAGCCTGCGTGCCCCAGGCAGGCAGGAGAGGGGCTGGAATCGCTGTCAGCTTCAGGGGGAAAGGTTGCTCAGAGCTTTAGCACCTGGTGGCATTCTTAGGGGATGAGCAGCACGGCATGCTTCCCGCAGCCACACATTTCACTGAAGAAGGGCAAGACCCAGCCCCGCAGGGAGCCCAGAGAGTAATTGCTGCCTTGGACTGGCCACCCTGCAGGCGCAGTGCTCTCCAGACCCCCCAGATCACCCCAGACCCCCTGAGTGCGCTCAGCACCGCTGGATCCCCCCGGCCTGGGCCCTCCCAAGGTGCCCCACGAGGCGGCCGGGCACTCGGGCAGCAGCTGCTGATTTCCATTGGGAATTCGCCCGGAACTGTGCGCTTATAAAAAGGCCCGCGCTTCTCCCCAGCAGAGTTTCAGTCCCGCCCGTTGTTTTGATAGTACACCTAAAGCAGACTGGCCTTAAAGTTTAGGAAAAATTGAAGAAGTACTCACAAAACAGATCTGATCGGAGATTAGCATTAACTGGCGTGCACAAAACCAGCCGGTCAACTTCATTTCCACCACTTGCCCACTGCAAGATATTTCATAATTCTGTTTCCTTTTTAATCAGATGAAAATAGAACATGAGTGTTAATCACAGAGCACAAATAGGGAAGAATATGTAAAAAGGAAAAACAACCTTCAAAACCTTTGTTTTCAATATAGTTTGTCATGCATTGTATTTAAAAACGCCAGTAGATGAGATGATGTTACTTGCAACATCATTCATTAAAAAGTGTGCACTCAGTCAGCCAAGCACAAATCAACGTATGACAGACTACAAAGAAATACCAAAGTAAAAGGAAACTTGAGATGAAACAGAGTGAGGTCATTGGTTTCTTGCATTATCCTGAAGATGTTTGCCAACATTTTAATTTAGCCAAATGGCCACCATTTAAAAAAAATAAAATAAAAAGAAAAAACTTTGTTTTGACAAAATCATGATCTGGAGGGAAGAACTTTTGAAAAAACATGTTAACCGTTTCCACTCCATACTTCTGAACGAGTCCTTCTGAGAAAAGGGAAGGGACGTCTGTGCAGTCTGATGGCATTATCTGTGAGAGGACCAAGTAGAAATCGTTCCTTCAGATTTACAGTCTTCTCCTCTAATATTTGTACTACTTGTAGGTTGTAAACACACGACTGGGATATGGCAGGGGTTGTAAGGAAAAATATCTTGGATCTTCGCTATATCTACTGCTCTCGTTAGGCAACACATCAGAATGTGCGAGCAAGGCAGACCTCAAGATAGGAATTCAGCTGATAAAGTGAATCCAAATTTCAGATACCGTGAAATGCCCCGTGGCCTTCCAGTGCCATGTCCAGTGCCTCACTGGAGTGAGAAGGTGCCTGTGTCAAACCACATGCTGCTGTTGTTGGGCTTGGGTCGCGCTGCAGCACGTGGGCACACTTCCCGTGGGGAGCAGTGGTGGGAGCTGGACGTGCTCGGCACCCAGTTGTGGCCATCTCACCCCAGCACAGAACCCACGGCCCCACCAGCCCTGGAGCGGGAACAGCCGGGAGCTGCTGGAGCCTGTGGTGATGGTGCTGAAAGTCGCATGGGGAGTCAACCCCAGCCCTGCTAACAAACACGCGCTTTTCTTTTTTTCCCTCGTGTCCCACGGAGCGGTTGCTGTTGAGTCGAGCATCCGTAGGAATGAGCGGCTGGAGCAGTCGCTCTCCGTTTTGAGCGCTGGGTGTAGAAAGCCGAGGCCGGGTCGGGTCTGGCACATGCTGCCCGCCC